TGTGTTGTGAAATTCACACATTAAGGTATGGTTTCTCTACGAGGGATTTGATTGCATAGGCCTGGGCCACCTGGCGTATCTGATTTTGCTGATGGCGAACACGATGTTTGATACATCTACGTTGAAGTTGTACTATGATAAGCGAGGTTCCTCCGCTGGCCCTGCATTCCTATCGAATCCAGCTCTGTTGATGAGTCCCCATGATTCTGTCCTCGGTCTATCCTTCGATCGTTGCGAGGTGGGTTGCGCCTCGAGGCGTTCCTTCTATCTTCGGTGTATGGTTGATATCTTTCTTTGTTTGGATTTGGCTCCTTCTCCAAGAGCCTTATTGGGTATACTGAGCCCCGGGGGCTCCCAGCTGTTCATCCTCGACCCTAATTTTTGACTGATATCGGTTGTGGACGTTCGACCAGGTCACGACGAGATATTTGACCAGGTTCTCTTTCAGCTGCTTTGAAGCCACCGAGCTTCGTTCATTCAGACCTTGAGTGAAGGCATGCACCGCCCAGTCTTCAGAGACCGGTGGTAGTTCCATTTGTTCCGTTTGAAATCGAGACACGAACACTCGCAGCATTTCGCTCTCCCTCTCCTTGATCTTGAATACATCAGATTTCCTTGTTGCTACTTTGATGGCACTAGCATGTGCCCTTATGAAGGAGTCTGCCAGCAAGGCAAATAAGTCTATGGAGTCAGGAGCTAGATTGTGATACCACATCATGGCCCTCTTCGAGTGTGTTTCCCCGAACATTTTTAGTAAGACGGACTCGATCTCGTCGTCCTTTACATCGTTGCCCTTCACTACGCAAGTGTAAGCAGTAACGTGCTCATTGGGGTCTGAGGTCCCATTGTATTTTTAGAGTTCTGGCATTCTGAACTTCTTTGGAATGGGTTTCAGGGCCGCTTCTTCTGGGAATGGCCTTTGTATGAACTTCTTCGAATCCACGCCTTTCAGGACGGGGGTGCGCTCGGAATTTGGTCGACCGTGGAGTTGTAGATCTCAACCTTCTTGTCGTTGGCTTCTATCATTTTCTCGCCTGATTCGATCCTTTTGGTGAGGTCCTCGAGCAGTTTTACGATGATGGGATCGGTCATCGACCTGTTACTGCTCGATCTCTCCGGTACCTGTTCGGCTGAGGGCGCTACCCCCGGTGCTACCGTGCTAGGAGTTTTCTGGTGACTTTGCAGTTGAGCAATAGCTAGCTGCTATGCCTGCAACATTTCAAAAATAACATGAAGGCTAACCTCCCGTTCTTCCCTAGTTAAGATTTTCTGAGCTTCTTGTTGATCCTCTTGGTGCACGCTCCTGTCGATGTGTTGGGCGTCACGTGAGATCGCATCCACAGGGACAAGCTCTTGTGTATTCCCAGGGTTTTGTGGTGGCACACCAACATCAGGAACAACCACACTGTTTTCTTTGTGGTCCTCAATTGTTGTTTTCACCTCCATTTACCGAGTTAGATATTTTGACCTGAAATCGAAGATCTTGGACAAGAAAAAGTGTGAAAGATAACTTGTGTTATGTAGTAAAAGCAACAAGAAAATAATCACTATTACTTTTAGCCCCACGGTGGGCGCCAAACTGTTTACCGTGAAAATGGTAATAACAATTAAATTTGATTATGGGATTCTAAAAATACGTGATCTATTTTTATGCTAATTTGTTAAGCAGTTGATGCTATGTGTGAAGTTTAGAAACGAGATAAGAGCAAGGAGCGAAGTGATAACCAAACCAATAGGTCAATTATAGGGGCCTCGACCTTGTCGATTCGGGGCCTCGAGGTCGATTCCGAAGCTCAGTTGGGAGCTATCGGGGATGGTCGAAGTATCGCTAACAGTTATGACAGAATCAATAAAGGTTCTTTATGGCCAATGATAAGCAATAAATAAATAACAATAACGAAGATAATAAACGAAAGCAATAATATCAAGAGAGTATGTTAGAGAGCAAATAAAATGTACTTATATATTTCGTGTGGAGCAATTGAAGCAACATAGAGTTACAAAGTGATAAGGATCCCCTTTATATATATGAGGGGAATCCTAACATAGTACAAAATATATTAATTACAAAGATAAAGGGATGTGGCAGCTATATGACACCCTGATTCAGGGCTAGAGTACCACTAGGCTCAGTCAGTCCTAGCCGTGTACCTTGGGAACTCCCCATCTCTATCACAACCGTGGTCAACATTGTCCTTAGGTCGAGCGTCGACGAACCTCGAGGGAGGAAACCCAATCATAGCCTCGCATCCTCGAGCCTTCGAGATGATCAGCCGAGGTGTCTGGATGATGAGGAATTGGACCCTCCGATTTCACCGTATACAGAATGAATGATCAAACCAATCGCAATGAAAAAATCAAGCATGGTTTTAAGTTGAACACTGAAATCCAGCCTCGATCGAACCCTCAATATGGGCTCGGTTGATATTAAAAAAGAGAATAACTGAAGAACAGTTTGAATAATAGCTAGAAGACAAAAATGAACTTTTATTGCTTTGTTATGTGTCTACAGAGTGTTGGAATGAAGAAATTCTCCCTTTTTATATAGTAGAAAAATTTATATCCTAGTACAAGTCTAAATAAGGTTAAAAAAATCCCAACATTCGTTGTTTAACCGTGCCCGATCCCAGATACATCGTTCATCTCTTCCGAGTTCTAACACGAGGAGCCCTTCGGCTTCACTTGAAGTTGCGTTGGACCGTTCTTTCTTCTCGTCTCTTTACTAGGGAATCGGGGGTAGCATTGTCCGCGATTTTACCCGTAGCCTCTATATTACATTCTTCAGCCAACGGAGTCGCACTATCCTTCGTTCCATTTTTTAATTTAGATTCAAGTTGACTAATTTTCTCTACAAGTCTATGAACCACAAATTTTGATTGTCGATCGATTTATTTGTCTCTCCAATGCCAAAATATGCACGATCGCAATCCCTATCACAACAAAAATTCACTTTCAATCTATGGACACACTCAACAAGATAAACTCTGCCTAAATCCGAACCGCATAGCACATACTACGGGCCATTGAAAAATAACAATAAGAATTGCTAATGCGGGCGCAAGGAATTCCCCCAAAATAGTATATGCCCGATATAGTATATACTAATGAATGCTCCAAGCCTGTAGTCTAAGAAGTTTCTGAAATTTGAAATTTAAATTTTTTTAATCTAAGATCAGTAATATATTAAGATTATTAAATTGATTGCCTTTTTAGAAGAAATAAATTATCAAATATTAAATAAAAGATTTTGCATTTTAAAAAACTAGAAAAATAATTTCAAAAGAAACTATATGTGAAATTAGTTTAAACCTGCCTCTTATTAGGTTTGATTTTAGTTATAAGTTTTCTATTTTAATTTTTCCTCGAGTAAATGCGATATATAAGTATGTAATAATTTGGACTTAGTACGTAACATTGTTATTGCCTTTTGTTTAATCATTTAAGCAACCTCCACTTCCAACTAAGATGTTGTGAGTTCGAGTCACCCCAAGAACAAGGTGGGAGTTTTTGGAGGGAATGATGCCGATGATCTATTTGGAAACAGTCTCTCTACCCATGGTAGGAGTAAGGTCTGCGTACACACTACCATCGCCAGACCCCACTAGTAGAATTATATTACGTTGTTAGTTGTATTTAAAACGTTTAAAGCGCCCTCATCTCTTAATTTCTCCCATTGGCCCCCACCACTCATAGGGAAAAAAGGAGGAGAAAATAATGCTGTCTTTGTATTTTTGGGGTGTGTGTATATGGGCCATGGGATTAATACTGCAGAAATTCTAGGTGGCATTTTGTTTATATAAAATTTCTCTATTTTAACTTTTAACTGAGCTGGTAATTTATTTTTCATTATTTAATCATTCCTTCTACAGGAAAAGGGCCGCTCCTTTGAAGAGGAATTGGAAAAAAAGGAGCTGCAACTTTTTTTTTTTTTTTTAATTAGAGCAAATGATTCAATATATGCTTAAACAAATCATAATTTCTGTAAGAGAGAGGATATTTTTGTCTTTTTCTCCAAAGGTAGATTTAAAATGATCCCTTAGAAATACCCTTGAACAGTTTGATCCGTTAACTTTATCAAAAATACGCATTTTTGGCGTCAATAAAAGAGTTAACAAATGCTGGTTGTTAGATTCAATGGAAACTCTGAAAAATAAAGATATTATTTTTGTCTGTTTTTTGTGTCTAGTGTATTTTTTTTGTGTCTATGTCTATTTGGAGAAGTTTTATTTTGTGTCTCATACAACTTACACTATTGGTATGAGACTCCTTTTTGTCTCACAATTGTGGACCCCAATATTACACTTCTGGGTCCACAGAAATCTGGATCAACAAAACTGTGAGACAAAAAAATTACCTCATACAACTAGTTTTTGGTGCAGTTTTTCGTGTTGCGGTATTTTTTGATTTGACAGGACTTCCCTAGTTTTTCTAGTTAGATTTTTTTTCCCCCATAATTTCGCTAAATTTAACCGGCAGAGTTTGTTAAATATTTGATAAAAACCGAAAGTGCTTACTTTTGCCAAACATAAAGGAGCGAAATTGCTCAAAATATATTTAAGAGACCATTTTAAAGTTACCTTAAACATAAAGGGTCATCTTTGTCATCTCAAAACAAAGTGTGTATAATTCCTTTTTTTTCTTTTGGTTTATTTCACGTATCTTAATTTGATTGAATATGAAGTATAGGAATGTAATTTTCTTTTAAAATTTTGTGATTTTAAATTAAAAGTGTCGATAACACATTATTAATAATGTTCTTTTAACTCTTGTGATTTTAATATATCGTCATTCCTATACGAGAGTGTCATTAAGGATAGAATAATAATATCGGGAACAAAATTCTACTACTAAATATAAAAATATATTTTTTAAATAGACTTAAAAAAATACACATTACATGTGGGAAATAGTTTAATAACTTCTAGACCTAGTTCATCTTCTTCATTGTACTTAAATATATACTACTACTAATATATATACATACACACAAGTAGCTTGGATTTAAGATTGTCTCTCTTTCTTGTGCTTGACCATTAACACAAAAATCCCTCATTGTCTCTGAAATCAGCTTTAAAATATTACCAAATTAAACCCTCATTGTCTCTGAAAATCAACTTTTCATTTGGTGAATAAGAATAGGAATGGGAAGAAAACCATGTTGTTCTAAAGAAGGTCTGAGAAAAGGTACATGGACTGCAAAAGAAGATAAGCTACTTACTGATTATATTAAAGAACATGGAGAAGTTGGATGGAGATCTCTTCCTGTAAAAGCTGGTAATCACTTTTTAGTTTCTTGATTCTTGGAAAGATCACTAGTAGAAACACTCTATTTTTTCTGACGGATCTCACAAATAATCCATCTGAATGTGCTCTTTGGGAGCTATTTCCGATGGCTTTCTGCCAGAAATCTCAAGTTTCTGACGGTAATGTTCATTAGTAGAAACAAGGACATATCTCGCCTTATGATGGTATCAGATTAATTTGGGATAGTTGAGTGACCATTTGAGTAATGGACTCTCTATATATATATATATGCTCCCTATGCAACATTATTGTGCACGATGATCTGTTTTTTTTTCCTTCAAAGTGTACGATATTGATAATATGATTGTCTATATTTTATGTTTAATAATTACTCTATGCCTGAAGCATTTGTTTCTATTGACCAATTGATTGAGGTAAAGATTTAAGTTGCAGGAGCAAACACTAACACCAGTTTAATTTTTTTACACCATTAGTAAAATATTAACCGGTCATAAAAGGTTATTATTTTATTTGCAAGTTTGCTAAATCAAACTTGTTTGGTATAATTAGCCTTATAAACGCTCAGTTTTTTACCTGATAATGTAAAAATATATAATAGTCCTCATAATTTAAAGGAATATTTACACAAATAGCCAGCTGGATTCACTATTACTTTTCTTAGCCGGCATAAATAAATAATGAACTGATTATACACAGTTATACACATATCATACATTGATTATACATATATATTATATATTTGCTGGCTATTTTAATTTAAATGGTTCTATGTGCGACTATTTAGTGTAATTCTTCTAATTTTTTAAAATTCATTTAGTAATTAATGTTGTTTGTATATTCAGGCCTACTCAGATGTGGCAAGAGTTGTAGATTAAGATGGGTGAATTATCTTAAGCCAGGAATCAAGAGAGGTAATTTTACAACTGAAGAAGAAGATCTTATTGTCAGACTTTATAATCTTCTAGGAAGTCGTTGGTCTCTCATTGCTGGAAGAATACCTGGTCGAACTGACAATGAAATAAAGAATTATTGGAACACACATCTTCTCAAGAAACTCAAATCTGAAGGAGTTGAGCCAAAAATACACAAATCTCTTGCAAAACACACTAAAAGACAAAAGGAGAAAGCAAATGTTTCTTCCCAAATTAACCAAAAAGGTTACAAGGAAAATAAGAAGAGGAATAAAAAGGGCAAGATTGAAGAAAATTGTAACAATATTGAAGACAAAGAACAAGTAGCTAAGAAGACAGAGGAGCAGTGTCGTAATCAGGATTCTGTGCGAGTGATGTCAGCTAATAATCACGATATCACTTGTAAGTGTATGCGATTTTAAAGTTTTACTTTCTATACTAAATTAGAAACTACTTTTATACTCTTAAATTAGAATTTACTTTTATATTATTTTCAAGTAGCATGCAGTTAAACTTCTCTATAATATTATAACAATACTTCATTGTAACGATCGAGGTTTATTTAAAGTCAGTTTTCATGTTATATTGTATTGTATATTCTCTATAACTACACTTTACTGTAGCATCCAAAAGGTGCCTAGAAATAAACGAGGTTCTTATAAAGTGATTTGACTGTATATAATTCTTAAGAGATATTATTTACACACGTATATAAAGAAAAATATTATTTATCAGATGACACGCTTTGCTGAGCACATGCATGGTTCTTTTTCATGTTATAATATTCATGATATATTATAATATATATTCTGTATAACGGCACTTCGCTCGCTGTAGCAGCCAAAAAGTGTCTAAAAATAAACAAGGATTTTATAGATTGGCTTGACTATATATAATTCTTAAGAGATATTATCTACACGTATAAAAAGAAAAATATTACGAAGCGTTATCTGATGACATCGCACACGCATGCTTCTTTTTCAGGTTCTTCAAGTAGTGCTGGCTCTACTAGTGAGAAGGAAACTAATTGCAATAATGTCCATTGTTCTTCTTCTGCTCAAAATCTTGAAGAAAATGATAATGAAATTTATGAGAAGCTTCAGGTTATTGATGAATTACTCCTGAATGATAATTGTCTTCTACCAACTGAATGCAGAGAGTTCAATAGTGAAAGCCAAATGCTGTTGATGGAGTTCTATGAAGAGTATTTTCAGCTTGTTTCTGAAAATTCATGTCATTTTCAAGATTATGCACATTCTGATTTAGGATTTTAGTTTTATGGGTTTATCATTTAAAGTTATAGGTTCATATCTACTATTTATTATATTTTTAATAATTTTTTATATATAAATTTATGTTTTCTATGTTGCATCCGCCCCTGTTTGAGGTTCTAATGAGACATGCATATTTATTCAGTAAATAAATTTTGAGGAATTGGTCACCTCTATGGTCGTTTTTTACTTGTATTGTTATTAGAGTTAACTTATTTACCCTGATCGCGCGAATAAATTTTATGAAATTAAGTCACTCAAAAGATATTTATAGGTAAATCTTTAAAAAAATTGTAATATTATTGTAAAAAAAATTACATGATCAGATCAGTCAAAAAAAATATTTATAAGTAACTATCAAATTTTATGATATTATCAAGTTAAATTTTTTTTTATAGGTAACTCTTCATAAAAATAAAATTATAATTTTGAAAATAAGGCAAGTTATTATGTGAGTAAAATTGACATAATATTGTAAAAAAAAATTATACGATTAGATCACCCAAAAAATATTTATAGGTAACTATCCACAAGAAAATGAAATTTGTAATCTTGAAATTAGAAATAAAATGCAGCAGGCAAAAATGATAGTATGATATTGTAAAATAGTAGTATAAGTTAAAACTCTTATATTAGATACTATTATCGTACCTTCATCTCAAAAGGGTTTAGCTTAGTTTTACATTTTAGAATTGACTTGGGTTTGGGAAAATGGTGTAAGCGTAATATTTTCTTTCTTTTATTTTATTTGACATTTTTTTTCTTATTAGTTTATGCAAAAATTAATACCATTTCATTATTTGAAAGTTATTTAATTCCATATTTTACTCTAATGACATGACTTGCGAGATCCCAATAAATATAAAAGTAAGTTTATAAACATTGAGGTCGATGAGGTCATGGAGGCAATGCGTAAGATGAGAAGGGGCAGAGTTACCGGACAAGATGAAATTCTGGTTGAGCTTTGGAGGTGTGTGGGTAGAGCAGGTTTGGAATGGCTTACTAAGTTGCTTAATGTTATATCCAAGACTAATAGGATGCCCGAAGAGTGGAGGTGGAGTACAATGGTCCCGTTGTATAAGAACAAAGGCGATATCCAGATCTGTAACAACTATAGGGGTATTAAATTACTAAGTCATACCATGAAAGT